TATGTGCTATATACAGTGATCTCAAGGTGCAGTATACAGTAATCTCAAGGTGCTGTATCAAATTTTCTCAAGGTGCTGTATCAAATTTTCTCAAGGTGCTTTGTACAGTGGTTGCAAGATGCTGTATACAATGTTATCATGTTGCTGAATACAATGTTCTCAAGGTTCTGAATACAATGTTCCAAAGGTGCTGAATGCAATGCTATCATAGAGCTGTATACGATGTTCTGAAGGTGCAGTATACAGTGTTCTCAAGGTGCTGTGTACGGTGTTCTCCATGTGCTGGATATAATGTTCTCAGAGTGCTAAATTCAGTGTTCTCTGAATTCTCATGAGTTGTATACAATTTTCACAAGGTGCTGTATAGCATGTTCTCAGGATGTTGTATACAATGTTTTCAGAATGTTGTATGCAATATTCTCAAGGTGCTGTAAACAATGTTTTCAAAGTGCAGCAACCACTGTTCTCAAGAGGCTATATACAAAGGTCTCAAGATGCTTAGCACAATATTCAAAGGGTGTTGTATACAATGTTCTCAGCGTGCTGTATAATATGTTCTCAGGGAGCTGCATACAGTGTTTTCAAGTTTCTTTATACAATATTCTCAAGGTGCAGTATACAGAGTTCTCATGGTGCTATATACAATGTTCAAAAATTGCTGCATACAAAGTTCTCACGGTGTTTATCCAATGTTCTAAAGTTCTGTATAGAATTTTCTCATGGTACTCTATACATTGTTCTCAAACCGATGTATACAATGTCTCTAACGTGTTGTATAAAGTGTTTTCAAGGCGCTGTATACAATTTTCTCAAGGTGTTGCATACAATGTTCTCAAGGTGCTGTATACAGTGTTCTTAAGGTGCTGTATACATGGTTCTCTTGGTGTTGTATTGAGTTCTGAAGGCGCTGTATTCAGTGTTCTGAAGGTGTTGTATACAATGTTCTCAAGGAGTTGTATAGTGTTCTCATGGAGCTGTATACAATGTTCTCAAGGAGCTGTAAACAATGTCCTCAAAGTGTTGTATAGTGTTTTGAAGGTGATGTATTTAGTGTTCTCAAGGTACCGTTTACAATATTTTCAAGACGCAGTATACAGTGTTCGGAAGGTGTTGTATAATGTTCTAAAGACGCTGTATACAATATTCTGTAGATGCTGAATACAGTGCTCTCTAGGTGTTCACAAGGTGCTGTATACAATATTCTCAGGGTGTTTTATTCAATATTCTCAGGGTGCTATATACTATGTTCTCAAGGAGATGCATACAGTGTTCTTAAGTTTCTTTACACAATGTCCTCAAGGTGCTGTAAACAATGTTCTCAAAGCGTTGTATACAATATTTTCAGTGTGTTGTATTCAATGTTCTTTATGTGATGTATACAATGTTTTGATGGTCCTGTATACAGTGTTCTCAAGGTGCTGTATACAATGTTCTGAAGGTGCTGTAAACAGTGTTCTCAAAGCTGCAGAATAGTTTTCTCATGGAGCTGTATATTTTTCCCAGGGTGTTGTATTCAATGTTCTCATGGTTCTGTATACAATGTTCTTAAGGTGTTGTATACAATGTTTTAAAGGGGCGGTATACTGTTTCAAGGGGATCTATGCAGTGTTCTCAAGGTGCTGTATATAATGTTCTGAAGGTGCTGTATTAAGAGTTCGTAGGGTGTTCTCAGGGTGCTATATACTATGTTCTCAAGAAGCTACATAAAATTTTCTTAAAGTGTTGTATTCAATGTTCTCAGTGTGTTGTATTCAATGTTGTGATGGTGATGTATTCAATGTTCTCAACGTGCTGTATAATGTGTTTTCAACGTTCTGTAAACAGTGTTCTCAATTTGCAGAATACAATTTTCACAAGTTGCTGTATAATTTTCACAGGGTGTTGTAGACACTGTTCTCAAGGTGATGATGCAGTGTTCTGAAAGTTCTATATTCAATATCCTCAAGGTGCTGCATATATAAAGTTCTCAAGGTATTGTATATAATGCCCTCAGGGTGTTTTATATAATATTCTCAAGATGCTGTATTCAATGTTCTCAAGGAGGTTTATACAATGTTCTCAAGGTGCTGTATACATTGTTCTCGAGATTATGTATATAGAGTACTCACGGTGCTGTATACAATGTTTTCAAATTGCTGTATACAGAGTTGTCACGGAGTTGTATGCAAAGTTCTCAAGGTTCTGTACAGATTTTTCTCAAAGTGCTGTATACATTGTTCTCAAAGTGATGTTTACAATGTCTCCAACGTGTTGTATACACTGTTCTAAAGGCTCTGTTTACAATTTTCTCAATGTGTTGTACAAAATTTTCTCAAGTTGCTGTATACAATGCTTTCAGGGTGTTGTATACAATGTTTTCAAGGGACTGTATACAATGTTCTCAATGTGATGTATACAAGGTTCTCAATGTGCTGTATACAATGTTCTCAAAGTGCTGTATACAGTGTTCACAACTTGCTGTATAGAATGTTCTCAAGGAAGTTCTTACATTGTTCTCAAAGTGATGTATTTAATGTTCTCAACGTATTGTATTCAGTGTTCTCAAGGCGATGTATAAAATTTTCTCAAAGTGTTTTATACAATGTTCTCATGGTGCGGTGGACAATGTTCTCAAAGTGCATTATACAAAGTTCTCAAGGTGTTGTATAGTGTTCTCAAGGCGCGGTATACAGTGTTCTCAAGGTGCGGTATACATTGTTCTCAAGGTGCTGTATACAATCTTCTCAAGGTGCTCTATACAATGTACTGAACAAGACTCTAGTAGCTTGCGTATATAATTCTGGCAGAGAGCCTCACTTGGCCTCCATCATCATATGACGTTGAGATTATGATGCCATGGGATGTCCAGGTTGCAGAATAATGCACAAATACCAGCAATAGGTTATAAAGTGAGACAGGAGAGTTAACTTGCTTAGATATAACTGCAACATTTCATGAAGCTACTGGTTCGTCCCAATTTGTTACATTCGTAATATGGCAGACGCTAGAACTGGTGCCCTTGCAGAGTTGGAATTTCTTTCCAAAGTCATAATCGTTGGATATGCCAAATGTTTTTAATTTTTAACATCAACATGGTTGTTATATAAAAATATAATTTACTGATGTAAGATCGTATTTATGGGTGTATAAACATATATATATATATATATATATATATATATATATATATATATATATATATATATATATATATATATATATATATATATATATATATATGTATATATATATATATAAATGCATAATGAAATCAAAACGAATGACAAAGGCAACTAAAGCATAAACTAGAAAATATAACTTATCAACTCCTTGACCGATGAAAATGTTTGAAACATTTACTATCATCCATTCATAAAACGGTGTTATTTACTATTATACACAAAAAACAGCTTCATGCCTTACGTCGTCCAGTAAGCTATAAGTAATAATCCAGATAATAATAATAATAATAAATAATAATCTAAAAATAGAAATCGAATAATAATAATAAATAAATAATAGTATTTTTATTAATAAAAATAATAATAAATAATAATATAAATAATAAATCCAGTAATTAAATAATGTAATATATTAGTAAACATGACGTATTGAGGAACATAATGTTACCTACATAAACATAATATAAATACTTATATATATTCCAATATTATTCTCAGCATATTCTTCCCATTTTCCATGGATTATAAATAGGGAATTTATAACGATTCATGGACACCCTGTCAACAGCGTTACTAATCCCTGCCCGTCCTCCTGCCCGTCCTCCAGCCTGTCCCCCAGCCTGTCCCCCAAACAAAGACTCAAAAGTGATTCCATCCACCCGCCAAACCCCTGTTTATGAATGAAAAACGGTTTACACACGACTCACAACTGATTTCCTTTGATCACGTCCGGAACAAGTGCTTCACTGACGAATTTTGTTCGAACCACAACGCTGTAAATGCTTCACCCATGTAATAAAATACAAAAAAATAGCCAACAGAACCTAGACACCTAACCTAACCTAACCTTGCCTATATATGCACAATTTGCTAATATATTATAATATTAATATATATTTGAGAAAATTCCCGTATTGAATAATATTGAATAAACAGTATGTCAAAATATATGAATTTGTCTCTGTGGTCGACCGCTGGATGTAATGGGCCTGAGTCGAGGACGGGTTGACTAATCCATGTATATATTCAAAACGGAAAGAGATTTATGGCCGAGACTATACATGCATTATAAGGAGAATCAAACCATTGGATATACACACCGAGAAGTTTACCCAGCTTCTCGGTGTGTATTGGATGACGGTTTACTCCGACGGAGAAGTGCCAAGCAACAAATGTGCGACCAACTCATGAGATGTTTAGAACCCGGTGGCCAGTCGGCCCTTTTTTGCCTGAAAGAGATAACTGAGGGTTGCAAAAAGATATTGCAATCTGTAACTAAATCGTCAAATGTTAAACTTCAAGACAAGGAGTCAACATGGATATAATTAAAATGCACTGCAAAGGCAGGGAGTGATTTCCCTAAGTTGCAAAGATAGTATATAGAGCAATAATTACTAATAACTGAACAGCAGTCTGCAGTTTTGGACTAACAGTTGATCACCTTGACCCTTGCAACTTGCAGTACTATCTTCAAGGTTCAAGACCATTCTGCCACACAAACTCATTCGTGTGTTTGAATTTGTTTTATGTAAATCAATTTCAGGAGGAGGTTGGATCCTATAACGTTTATACAATATAATTGTGTTTAGACGTACTTTTGTTCAAATCTGCACCTTCCATACTTTGCACCTCCATCAACTTTTCATGAGCAAGTATCCAAGTTTGGATGTAATGGTTCGTTGATTATGGAACATTTTGGTTTTCATTTGTCATTCATGTTCCATGCTATTGTCCATGCATTATGCATCATATATCATAGAGATAAATATATCGTTGACGTTAGACATAAGACTTGCAGTGGTGAGCAACTGGGTAATGGAGAATGGTCTCGTCCACCAGCACACTCTCGACCTTAGGCAACTCTGCGGCGTGTCTCATCTGGGAAGATTTCCTCAAACACCGACCATACTTCAGTCGGCTGAGCAGTGCTGGAGCCATCAAAGCTGTCATGATCATCTGTAAGTGTTTTCTTCTTGTGGTTCTAACTGGTGCATAGAAGTGTCTATACCAGTAAAGTCACACATGATCACATATACGTGTTAACAAGTCATTCCAACTGCTTGACAAAGACCGTGCCACCATCTGTAATTTTTTTAAATAAAAAATTTTTCGCACTCCTTTTCATGCAGGTCAGAATAATATTAATATTTTATCAATAATATTTTATTGATAAAGCTTTATATATTGCTGAGTATAATTTACACAATTAAACAAACAATAAGTATATGCAACCAAATATATTGATTATTTTTATACAAATAAGAATGTTCCATTTCTTAACGATGTGCCTGGCACATCCTCAGCTTCTCAAACGAATCATTAATGTGTCATTTAATTTATAACTCCATATATATTCTACTCAAATTTCGTTCATTGATTGATGAGATGCTCTACTCTTGCTCTAGATTGATTTTCCCAGCAACTCAGAGCTAATGAACTGTTGTGGGATGCATCTACGTATTGAGGAAGGAAGCAGAAGTAGTACACATACTGTAGTCGTGGGAGTAGTAGTAGTAGTGATCCTGTAGTCTAGGGAGTACGTGTACTAGTAGTAGGCATCATGAAATAGGGCTAGGACTAGTGCCAGCACTACGGCCGGATTATCTATTAGGCAGAGTCCTTAGGATCTACAAGATAATGAGGGTCTACAGGATAATGAGGACCTACGACATAAAGAAGGCCTACAAGATTGGGATTGCCTTCGAGATTGTAAGAGCAGGCGCAATAGTGGCAGACCTACGATACTGTAGGGACCTACGAGAATGTGGGGACCTACGAGACAGTGGGGACCTACGAGACAGTGGGGACCTACGAGACAGTGGGGACCTACGAGACAGTGGGGGCCTACGAGACAGTGGGGACCTACGAGACAGTGGGGGCCTACGAGACAGTGGGAGCCTACGAGACAGTGGGGGCCTACGAGACAGTCGGGACCTACGAGACAGTGGGGGCCTACGAGACAGTGGGGGCCTACGAGACAGTGGGGGCCTACGAGACAGTCGAGACCTACGAGACAGTGGGGGCCTACGAGACAGTGGGGGGGCCTACGAGACAGTGGGGGCCTACGAGACAGTGGGGGCCTACGAGACAGTGGGGGCCTACGAGACAGTGGGGACCTACGAGACAGTGGGGGCCTACGAAACAGTGGGGGCCTACGAGACAGTGGGGGCCTACGAGACAGTCGGGACCTACGAGACAGTGGGGGCCTACGAGACAGTGGGGGCCTACGAGACAGTGGGGGCCTACGAGACAGTGGGGCCTACGAGACAGTGGGGACCTACGAGACAGTGGGGGCCTACGAGACAGTGGGGGCCTACGAGACAGTGGGGGCCTACGAGACAGTCGGGACCTACGAGACAGTGGGGGCCTACGAGACAGTGGGGGCCTACGAAACAGTGGGGGCCTACGAGACAGTGGGGGGCTCTACGAGACAGTGGGGGCCTACGAGACAGTGGGGACCTACGAGACAGTGGGGGCCTACGAGACAGTGGGGGCCTACGAGACAGTAGGGGCCTACGAGACAGTCGGGACCTACGAGACAGTGGGGGCCTACGAGACAGTGGGGGCCTACGAGACAGTGGGGGCCTACGAGACAGTGGGGGCCTACGAGACAGTGGGGGCCTACGAGACAGTGGGGACCTACGAGACAGTGGGGGCCTACGAGACAGTGGGGGCCTACGAGACAGTCGGGACCTACGAGACAGTGGGGGCCTACGAGACAGTGGGGGCCTACGAGACAGTGGGGGCCTACGAGACAGTGGGGGCCTACGAGACAGTCGGGACCTACGAGACAGTGGGGGCCTACGAGACAGTGGGGGCCTACGAGACAGTGGGGACCTACGAGACAGTGGGGGCCTACGAGACAGTGGGGGCCTACTAGACAGTGGGGGCCTACGAGACAGTCGGGAACTACGAGACAGTGGGGGCCTACGAGACAGTGGGGGCCTACGAGACAGTGGGGACCTACGAGACAGTGGGGGCCTACGAGACAGTGGGGGCCTACGAGACAGTGGGGGCCTACGAGACAGTGGGGGGCCTACGAGACAGTGGGGGCCTACTAGACAATAGGGGCCTACGAGAAAGTGTGGCCTACGAGAGAGCGGGGTCTACGAGAAAGTGGGAACCTTCGAGACAGTGGGGGCCTACGAGACAGTGGGAACGAACGAGACAGTGGGTGCCTACGAGACTGTCGGGACCTACGAGACAGTGGGAGCCTACGAAACAGTTGGGGCCTACGAGACAGTGGGGATCTACGAGACAGTGGGGGGCTCTACGAGTCAGTGTGAGCCAACGAGACATTGGGAGCCTACGAGACAGTGCGAGCCTATGAGACCGTGGGGGCCTACGAGACAGTGGGGGCCTACGAGACAGTGGGAGCCCATGAGACCGTGGGCGCCTACGAGGCAGTGGGGGCCTACGAGACAGTGGGAGCCTACGAGACAGTCGGGACTTATGAGACAGTGGGGTCTACGAGACCAAGGAGACCTACGAGACAATGGGGGCCTACTAGACAGTGGGGGCCTACGAGACATTGGGGGGCCTACGAGACATTGGGGGGCCTACGAGAGAGTGAGAGCCTACTGTCCTTCGAGTACGAGTGGAGAGCTACGAGTCAGTAGAGACCTACGAGTCAGTGGAGAGCTTAGAGACAGTGGAAACCTATGAGACAATGGAGACCTTCCAGACAGAGGAGGCCTACGAGACAATTAAGACCATAGAGACAATGGAGACCTACGAGACAGTGGAGACCTACGAGACCGAAGAAACCTAAGAGACAGAGGAGACTTACGAGACAGTGCAGACCTACGAGACAGTGGGGACCTATGAGACAGTGGAGACCTACTAGGCAGTCAAGACTTTCGAGACAGTGCAGACCTATGAGACAGTGGAGACCTATGAGACAGTGGAGACCTACGAGATAGTGAAGACACATGAGACAGTGGAGACCTACTAGACAGTGGAGACCTACTAGACAGTGGAGACCCACTAGATAGTGGAGACCTAAGAGACAGCGGAGATCTTCGAGACAGTGCAAACCTACTAGACAGACGAGACCTACGAGACAGTGCAGACATACTAGACAGTGGAGACCTACGAGACAGTGCAGACCTACTAGTCAGTGGAAACATTTGAGACAGTGGAGACATCCTGACATGTGCCAAACCTCACTGGAGGACAGAAAATGCTATGACCTCAGCTGCCCACACTTTCACGTGAAAGGCACGGAACGCTACATAAAGAGTGGCAAGCAGGATAATGAATTTGGAGGAAACTCTATAAATTTTTTATACCAGACCGGCAGAGAATTCAAAAGGAGCAGCATGGAGAGTGTATGGAACTGGATGCCAGATCCACTTGCATTCCAGAATTACAGATACAATTACCCACCGAAAGGGAACTACAACTACGACAGAAAACTGCCCTACAACAGTTTTTCAGGACCTTCTGACCTTTGTACTGGTCAGAACAAACTCATTATGTCCACGATTAATGGACTTGCCGAAAAAGTCTCCCATTCAAACTGTCACTAATAGAGTAACCTCATTCATCTTTGCCAACATACAAGGACTGAAAACAAGAACAAACAACAAAGTACAGTTCATAAATGGCCTCCTCACGGAGTCAAATGCAGTATTTGGAGCTTTCACAGAAACCCATGCAGGGAAATTGTTGGACAGTGAGATCTGGATTCCAGGATATAACCTATACAGGTGTGATAGGAAAATTAGGTCACATGGAGGAGTGGGTCTGTATATTAGGGAAGACCTTGTATGCTCGGAGCTCCTAAACGTTACAAATGAGGTGGTAGAGGTACTGGGATTAAAAATAGAGAACATAAATTTAGTGATTATACTAATATACAAACCGCCAGATGCAACGGCTGAGGAATTCACAGAACAGATAAGCAAAATAGAGAATAGCCTTGAAAATTTGGAGAACCCGATACCTGATATTATCTTCCTAGGTGACTTCAACTTGCCTAGTCTCAGGTGGAAAATAGCAAACAATAATATTATACCAGGAAATCTATCAGGACCTAACCAACCACAGATTAGAGAACTACTTAGATTCTGTGACAAATTTTCACTCAATCAGCAGATATCGGAGCCAACGAGAAATGAAAATATTCTAGATCTGGTCTTTACGAACAATGAAGACATTATCAGAGACATTACGATATCAGATACCACATACTCAGATCACAAACTCATTGAAGTGCAAACTACCATCAATACTCAGAATAGACCTAAAACGTTGATAAAGCGAGAGGGGCTATTCAGTAAATTCAATTTTAATAATAAAAGGATAGACTGGGAGATAATAAACAGGGAACTTACAAACATTCCATGGGGAACTGTTCTAAATAATACAAGTCCTACAGAAGGAATAGAAAAACTGACTTCAGAAGCGTATCAAGTCTGTCTGAAACATGTTTCTTTGAGGAAAGCCAGAAAGAGATCTAACGTAGAAAGAGAACGCAGACGACACTATAAACGCAGGAAAAAAATAACGGAACTGCTTATGCAGACACGAATTTCCCGTCAAAGAAGGAATAATTTAAATAGGGAGATTGAAGAAATCGAGCGGAAATTGAAACACTCATATGAAACTGAAGAAAGGCAGTTAGAACAGAAAGCAATTCAGGAAATAAAGAAAAATCCAAAATATTTCTTCTCATATGCGAAATCAAAAGCAAAAACCACTGCCAGTATTGGACATATTCGTACAAGTGAAGGTTCATACACGGAGGATGACAAAGAAATTAGTGAAATCCTAAAAAAGCAGTATGAGGACATGTTTAGCACTCCAATAAACTACATGAAGGTGGAAGATCCAGACAATTTCTTTATGCGGGATATTCAAACCCCTGTAAATATAACTGATATAAACACGAGCGCACTAAATTTTGAAAGAGAAATTGAAAACATGCCCATGCACTCGGCCCCAGGTCCAGACTCATGGAATTCAATATTTATAAAGAAATGCAAAGTGCCGGTAGCACAGGCACTCAGTATAGTGTGGAGGAAGAGCTTGGACACGGGGGAGATACCAGATGCACTTAAAGTAGCAGACATAGCCCCTCTACACAAGGGAGGGAGCAAAGCATTGGCAAAAAATTATTGACCAGTTGCACTAACATCGCACATCATAAAAGTATTTGAGAGAGTGATTAGGAGTCAGGTCACCAATTTCATGGAGACCAATGACCTTCACAACCCAGGCCAACATGGATTTCGAGCGGGAAGATCGTGCCTCTCACAGCTACTTGAGCACTACGACAAAGTCACTGAGGCATTAGAAGAGAAACAGAATGCTGATGTGATATACACGGACTTCGCAAAGGCTTTCGATAAATGTGACCATGGCGTGATAGCACACAAAATGAAGTCAATGGGAATAACCGGTAAAGTAGGACGCTGGATACTCAGTTTTCTGTCAAACAGGACTCAGCGAGTAACTGTCAACCATATAAAATCTAGTCCAAGTGTAGTGAAAAGCTCTGTACCTCAGGGTACAGTCCTTGCACCGCTGCTTTTCCTTATTCTCATATCAGATATAGACAAAAATACAAGTCACAGCTTCGTATCATCCTTTGCAGATGACACAAAAATCAGTATGAAAATTATCTCGGCTGAGGACATTGAAAAACTTCAAGCTGATATTAATAAAGTTTTCGACTGGGCTTCAGAAAATAACATGATGTTTAAGAGTGATAAATTCCAGGTACTCAGGTACGGTAAAAATGAGGACCTTAAACATAATACAGAGTACAAAACACAATCAAATGTACCCATAGTAGGAAAACAGCATGTAAAGGATTTGGGAATAATAATGTCTGACGACCTAACGTTTAAGGAGCATAACCAAGCAAATATTGCGACAGCCAGAAAAATGATAGGATGGATTACGAGAACTTTCAAATCCAGGGATCCCATCACAATGGTTGTACTCTTCAAGTCACTTGTGTTGTCCCGTCTTGAGTACTGCTCAGTACTCACTTCCCCCTTCAGAGCAGGAGAGATTGCTGAAATAGAGGGAATACAGAGAATATATACGGCACGCATAGATGCAATAAAGCACCTAAATTATTCGGATCGTCTCAAAGCTCTCCAAATGTACTCACTAGAAAGAAGACGAGAGAGATATCAAATAATATACACCTGGAAGATACTGGAGGGCCAAGTACCAAATCTACACAGTAAAATAACAACGTACTGGAGTGAACGACATGGAAGAAAATGTAGAATAGAACCAATGAAGAGCAGAGGTGCCATAGGCACAATCAGAGAACACTGTATAAACATCAGAGGTCCGCGGTTGTTCAACGTCCTCCCAGCAAGCATAAGAAATATTGCCGGAACAACCGTGGACATTTTCAAGAGGAAACTAGATTTATTCCTCCAAGGAGTGCCGGACCAACCGGGCTGTGGTGGGTATGTGGGCCTGCGGGCCGCTCCAAGCAACAGCCTGGTGGACCAAACTCTCACAAGTCGAGCCTGGCCTCGGGCCGGGCTTGGGGAGTAGAAGAACTCCCAGAACCCCATCAACCAGGTAGACCGTGGAGACCTAGATAGTGGAGACCTATGAGATAGAGGAGACCTACGAGAGAGTGCAGACCTACTAGACAGTGGAGAACTACTAGACAGTAAAGACCTACTAGACAGTGGTGACCTACTAAACAGTGCAGACCTACTAGACAGTGGAGACCTATGAGACAGTGGAGACCTACGAGACAGTGCAGACCTACGAGACAGTGCAGACCTATTAGACAGTGGAGACCTATAGGACAGTGCAGAACTACTGGACAGTGGAGACCTACTAGACAGTGGAGACCTATGAGACAGTGGAGACCTATGAGACAGTGCAGACCTATTATACAGTGCAGACCTACTATACAGTGCAGACCTATGAGACAGTAGAGACCTATGAGACAGTGCAGACCTACTAGACAGTGGAGACCTTCGAGACAGTGGAGACCAACGAGACAGTGGGTATTCCCTTTATGAATAAAATGAGACCTTTTCTTCCACTTTTTCTACAGGATATTATTATATTGATACTGAACTACTTTTTCCAAATATTTCCTACTTATTCCTACTTTTATCAATTTATGTTAGTTGATTATTTTCTACTCTATTCTGTTTAGGCATATATTCGCAATAGATGAAAGAAAAATAAGAGAAGAAAAATTTTCAAAGAGTACACAAAGGAGACAGTTTTCCAATTGCCCACTGCATACTTTTCTTGAAATGTCTTAAACAACGTAATCAATAGGAAATATTTGGGACATTCTCAACATCACAAGGCAATGGCTTCTGGTAATTGACACATTTTGTAATTAAAGATGTTTATTAGATCAATTAGATTTATGGTTTATCAACACCAGTGCAAATTATTTTATTAAGTCATTAGCGTATATCTTTTGTAGCAGTTAATGTTCAGTTAAAAGTAGGGAAAGAGAAAGCAGCTGTTGTTAAAGCTGGCCCCATATCTTGGAGATTCGTAAGGCTTAAATAATTAAGAAAGTCTTAAAGCAGCTCTAGGGGGGGGGGGGAACAGATCAACCCGTCCTCTTAAAAATAACGTCACTTTTGGCCCGTATGCCCGCATTGGCCAAATTTGGACGTAATTTGAAATGAAATCGACTCACATAAGTGACGTTCTGTTCCGTTTTCTGTTTGAGTCGTCCGGCTTACTCGGCAAGCTTAGAAAAGGAAACTTTCCGTTAACGTTTTTCATACCGTTTTGAAACTTTATGAGAAGTTGCTGCCCACCTAACCTATCAGAGGACCCTTAACTTACTGTTGTTGAAAAAAAAATCCCAAATTTATTTTCATTTTTTTTTCATTTTCAAATTACGTCCATATTCGGCCATATGGGCAAATGACCAAAAGAGACGTTCTTTTTAAGAAGGGAGACCTCAGTAAGCCTAGTAAGATTCCTGTCTCCGAAAATGTGAACAATTTGAAAAATTACCCAGGGCGCAGGTTTGAATCCTCCTCATGGTTCCTAATGATTTTCTCATTGATGTGTCATGTAAATGTGATTTCTTTATGGGAAGAATATTTCCTAGTCAGATACATTGTTGTGTGGCCCAGCGGCAGGAACAGGCGTGATGGCCACCTCCTTGGGACTCATGGTGGGTGACCTGGGCAACGCCTTCCATGTCATCGTCAGCATCAACTCCGCCATATCCGGGCCGCTCTGTGGCATCTTCCTTACTGGCATCTGCGCTCCCTGGGTCAATCACAAGGTATTACACGTCGGGCAAAATAATGAGGCAACAATATTTGATGGAACTGGCATCCCTGGACTGCCCAGGGACGGCTGAACCACCAGCTTATCATGGTCAAGTGGGCCAGGTGTTTGTCTGGGAAGGCCAGGGAGTCGTGTTCTATCCAATTTCATTGCCTAAATGTTTTCTCGTAGATGCATCACGTTAGTGTGAATTGATTCTAAATATTACATGTTTCTTTTCAAGTTAACATATATATGATTATATGTCATGAGATCCGTCTGAAATGTGCCTTCTCTTATTTTCGAAAATGGTGCCTTCTGTGCTTGACGTGTGGCAGAGCATCGTGGTGGGCTTCGTCACGTCCATATTGTACAGCATGTGGACAGTTATTGGGAAATTTCTGCGGGGAGGAGGATCGCCCCGCCGTCTGCCACTTTCCACCCAGGGCTGTCCAGGAGCCTTGGCCCTCAACACCACTGTCGAGGACCTGCTCAACACAACCATGTTAGATAGTTATGGACTCTTGAACCCTACGCTGAATGATGGGCTGCTGACCAACGCCACAGCAGAACATGAGTGAGTTCACTAGTACCAAAGAACAGAGGAAAGTATGACTCACAATCGAGAATCACGGGTTCGATCCATGGACGGGAAAAAAATTAATCGAAACGTTTCCTCTGACCTTGTACCACTGTTCATCTAGCAGTAAAAAAATTACCTGAGAGTTAGGAAACTATTACGAGTTGTTTTTCGGAAAGGTCAAAAGTTGTCCTAGAGGGACTTCAATAAACCTAAGTAGACTTTCTGTCCCTAACCAAAGGGAATTAAAAAACATTCTCTAACTAACGCTTCAAACAATCCACCGACCTGTTAGCATGTTACCTGGTAAAGTCTTCCATAGATCAAAACGTCAATTTTCCTACCAGTATTTCCTCAGGACATACATTAATGTTGACAACGTGAGGAGAGGGTGTAGTACTCTTCGTGATTTGTTTCTTGTCAGTGCAGATGACCACACCTGCTGAGAAGGCAGACTCACCAATTATAACTATCTGATGTGTATAATAACTACCTATAAATTGTAGTTTAACTTAAGTTATATTTATTATTAATTATAATTTGTTTAGGTTAAACTGTAATTATTTAATTATTATAAAGATAATTGGTTTAAGTTTAACTATAATTTATGGGTATTTATTATATACATTAGATAGTTGCTATTGAAGAACGCAATTACCGTCTTGCTAAGAAGTTGTTTTATAATTATAATGAATTTTGATTTTCCGGCATTAACTGTTAAACAGTTTTTATATATTTACAATGTTTCTCGCTTCTATAACGGTTTATTTTATTTTCCTCGTTTTTACAAGTTCTCTTTTTTCACTTCAACGTTTATCTTGTCTTCGCTTTTTCGGCATTCCTCGTCTCTTGAGCCTTTCTAACCTCACTGATTCTGATGCCAGTCTGTTAGACACTCTCCAATATTAATGTTCTTCTTTCTACTCCCGCCCGCCTCTCAAGTTTGTGGAGAAGTCTCATATACGGAACTGTGTCAGAAACTTTTTGGCAATCCAAAAATATGCCCACGCATCTCGGTCTTGTCTTATCTCTGTTCCATTGTCATAAAATACCAGAAGGGTTGTTGTGCATGATTTCGGTTCTCTCAAGCAATGTTGTTTGTTTGTTTATATAATTCCACGTAGGTGCTTACATAATCTTATCCTAATTACTGTTTCGAGTACTTTGCAGAAGATGCGGTCCTCGACACTGGTTTGTAGCTAGGTGTCTCCTTTCTTGTTCCTGTTTTGCTATCTTCGCACAATGGGGGGAAAACTCCCTTCACAAATGAATAATTGATGATCAGAGCTAGAGGTCTACTGAGAGCCTGTGCAGCTTTAATTACATCCATGATAATCCTTTGTCTGGTCCAAAAGTTTCCAGGGCATCTTGTAACTATTTGTCTCATTATTTCCACTGCCAAAATATTAATATTTCTCAGTCTTTTGTCATGGGTTACCTCCTCTCCTAGCACTGGCAGCTGCTCTGGCCCAGTCGTGAACACACCATGGAAACTGTCATTTAGTTTCATGCAAATTTTCTTGTCATTTCCAATATGTTCTCCTCCCCTCCTGCGTAGTCTCGTCACTCCATCATTCATGACCAATTTCCTTTCCTTCCTTTGCGTATGACTAATTAGAAAAGTTTGATGTTTCTTTGTTTTAGATTTAGTTTGCATATGTTCATTTACCATTTATAATTTATTATATGTGTCTGCAGCATCGAGCTGTTAGCTCTTGGACCCCGACTTTCCTACCGTTGGTTGCCTACTGTGCTGACTCTTGACCTATTTTCCTCTATCATATATAATACACATTTCTCTCTCTTTTTCTCCCATGCACACATGCCCAGAATGAAGCCCGCAACAGCTCGCACTCGGGTACTCATTTATTGCTAGGTGAACAGAGGGTTCACGGGAGCCAAACTCTGCTGGGAATCGAACCCATGTCCGTGGCATGCGAATCCCAGATGATGTCCGCCAAGACCTGTGTGTATTCACCTATTTGCGCCTGCAGGATTAGTATAAGCCATCCCCAGTTGTCTAATGAAAAGACTCTTGAACTATTTCTCTATCATATCTATTTTTAAAATGCTGAAAGGAGTTTGCTTTTACAACTTGCTCCTTAAGTTTATTCCATTTTCTTACTACTCTTATGCTAAAAGAAAACTTTTAACATTATGATTCATCTGGATCTCATGCTTCCACCCATGCCCCCCTATCCAATTGGCATTCATTGTGGACATTTTCTCTTTTACCATGGTCAATTTCCCTTAATATAATTATACGTCTCTGTGATGTTACCTCTCGCTCCCTTATTTTTTCTAGCGTTGTCAGGTTTAATTCCTTTAGTTTCCCTTCATATCCCATCCCTCGCAATTCTGGAACGAGCCTTGTTCCAAACTTCAGAACCTTCTCGAATTTCCTGAATTTTTAAATAAGGGCTCAAGGATGTGGCGGCATTGTCTAAAACTGGTCTCACGTAGGTGGTATACATGCAGCGATGTAAATACCTCCATATTCAGGTTCCTGGATGAAGTTCTGACTTTTGCTAGTGTTGAGTATGCTCCTGACGTTATTCTACTTTGTGTGCGTGTGCGTGTGTGTGTATGTACTGGCCTAGTTGTACTCACCCAGTTGTGCGTGCGGGGGCTGAGCTTTGGCTCTTTGGATTCAGGGAGGGTAAATCTTGCCTGACTGGCTTAATAGATTTCTACGACCAGGTGACAAAGAGTAAGCAAGAAAGAGAAGGCTGGGCGGACTGCATTTTCTTGGATTGTCGGAAAGCTTTTGACACAGTACCTGGTTGATACCTGGTTGATGGGGTTCTGGGAGTTCTTCTACTCCCCAAGCCCGGCCCGAGTCCAGGCTTGACTTGTGAGAGTTTGGTCCACCAGGCTGTTGCTTGGAGCGGCCCGCAGGCCCACATACCCACCACAGCCCGGTTGGTCCGGCACTCCTTGGAGGAATAAATCTAGTTTCCTCTTGAAAATGTCCACGGTTGTTCCGGCAATATTTCTTATGCTTGCTGGGAGGACGTTGAACAACCGTGGACCTCTGATGTTCATACAGTGTTCTCTGATTGTGCCTATGGCACCTCTGCTCTTCACTGGTTCTATTCTACATTTTCTTCCATATCGTTCACTCCAGTACGTTGTTATTTTACTGTGTAGATTTGGTACTTGGCCCTCCAGTATCTTCCAGGTGTATATTATTTGATATCTCTCTCGTCTTCTTTCTAGTGAGTACATTTGGAGGGCTTTGAGGCGATCCCAATAATTTAGGTGCTTTATTGCGTCTATGCGTGCCGTATATGTTCTCTGTATTCCCTCTATTTCAGCAATCTCTCCTGCTCTGAAGGGGGAAGTGAGTACTGAGCAGTACTCAAGACGGGACAACACAAGTGACTTGAAGAGTACAACCATTGTGATGGGATCCCTGGATTTGAAAGTTCTCGTAATCCATCCTATCATTTTTCTGGCTGTCGCAATATTTGCTTGGTTATGCTCCTTAAACGTTAGGTCGTCAGACATTATTATTCCCAAATCCTTTACATGCTGTTTTCCTACTATGGGTACATTTGATTGTGTTTTGTACTCTGTATTATGTTTAAGGTCCTCATTTTTACCGTACCTGAGTACCTGGAATTTATCACTGTTAAACATCATGTTATTTTCTGATGCCCAGTCGAAAACTTTATTAATATCAGCTTGAAGTTTTTCAATGTCCTCAGCCGAGGTAATTTTCATACTGATCTTTGTGTTATCTGCAAAGGATGATACGAAGCTGTGACTTGTATTTTTGTCTATATCTGATATGAGAATAAGGAAAAGCAGCGGTGCAAGGACTGTACCCTGAGGTACAGAGCTTTTCACTGCACTTGGAGTAGATTTTATATGGTTGACCGTTACTCGCTGAGTCCTGTTTGACAGAAAACTGAGTATCCAGCGTCCTACTTTACCGGTTATTCCCATTGACTTCATTTTGTGTGTAATCACGCCATGGTCACATTTATCGAAAGCCTTTGCGAAGTCCGTGTATATCACATCAGCATTCTGTTTTTCTTCTAATGCCTCAGTGACTTTGTCGTAGTGCTCAAGTAGCTGTGAGAGGCACGATCTTCCCGCTCGGAATCCATGTTGGCCTGGGTTGTGAAGGTCATTGGTCTCCATGAAATTGGTGACCTGACTCCTAATCACTCTCTCAAATACTTTTATGATGTGCGATGTTAGTGCAACTGGTCTATAATTTTTTGCCAATGCTTTGCTCCCTCCCTTGTGTAGAGGGGCTATGTCTGCTACTTTAAGTGCATCTGGTATCTCCCCCGTGTCCAAGCTCTTCCTCCACACTATACTGAGCGCCTGTGCTACCGGCACTTTGCATTTCTTTGTAAATATTGAATTCCACGAGTCTGGACCTGGGGCCGAGTGCATGGGCATGTTTTCAATTTATTTTTCAAAATTTAGTGCGCTCGTGTTTATATGTTATATTTACAGGGGTTTGAATATCCCGCATAAAGAAATTGTCTGGATCTTCCACCTTCATGTTGTTTATTGGAGTGCTAAACATGTCCTCATACTGCTTTTTTAGGATTTCACTAATTTCTTTGTCATCCTCCGTGTATGAACCTTCACTTGTACGAATTGGTCCAATACTGGCAGTGGTTTTTGCTTTTGATTTCGCATATGAGAAGAAATATTTTGGATTTTTATTTTTTTCCTGAATTGCTTTCTGTTATAACTGCCTTTATTCAGTTTCATATGAGTGTTTCAATTTCCGCTCGATTTCTTCAATCTCCCTATTTAAATTATTCCTTCTTTGACGAGAAATTCGTGTCTGCATAAGCAGTTCCGTTATTTTTTTCCTTCGTTTATAGTGTCGTCTGCGTTCTCTTTCTACGTTAGATCTCTTTCTGGCTTTCCTCAAAGGAACATGTTTCAGACAGACTTGATACGCTTCTGAAGTCAGTTTTTCTATTCCTTCTGTAGGACTTGTATTACTTAGAACAGTTCCCCATGGA